ATAGTTTCACAAATTTTCAAGTTCCTAACCTACATATATTCAGAATAATCACAAAAAAAACGATTTAAAATTTTAACTTTCAACACCCTGTATTTCCGAAACTATTAACTTTTGGATAAGGCATGTTTGCGCCAATCGTCACCATTTCACGTGTAGTATCTTCAGCTTTCGACTTTCCCATTGTTAATGAATCACCCTGTACACATATAGGTACTTTGTAAAAAATCTGAACCAATTAAAAAAAATATCGTTACCGTTACGATTTTCTAAAATAAATTTTCCGTTTTTTTCATGACGAGTGTATTTAGTACAAATCATAAAATTGTATAATTGCGCATAAGATTTCTTTATTTTGAAAATATTAAATATCAAACGCCTTGCATTATTTTTCCACGTAAATAGCAGTTTATAAGTATTATTTTTTTAAATTTAGATTTATAGTATTTTTAATAATAAGATAACCTTAAAACTGAGAAACATTACTTTTTAAGAAAATCGTAATAGACGTTTTTATTATTGGTGTTGATAGCAAAAGATTCTTCCTCAATATGCAGCAAAAAAAAATCACAATACCTGTATTCTATAATTATATAAATATAAAATTCTGTAGCTGCGGCATATGAAATATTCACACACAATACAATTTTCATGAATTTACTGTCCATATAATATATGGACACTACGGATATGTTGAAAAGAGGCTTTATTAGGGTTGGCGTCAGCCCTTACGGGCTTTTGGTGTTGACTAAGGGACCCATATTCTTTAAATAGTGTTTTCCGCAAAGACAAATAATTTCAAACATTTAATAACTGAATAATCTAAAGCTTATCAAATAATAGGAATGTTATGTCATGCCATTTGGGTATTTTCAAAGACGCCGCAGTAAAACGAATAAACAGGTGCAAAAAAAACGATCAAACCATCGTTTTAGGTACTGAAATCTACAAAAATACTAACATTTATATATATAATTCCACTTGTAAATATTCTTATAACATTTACTTGCTTAGTCCTACATATAAAATTGTTTATTTTTATTTATAAGTACGTGAAAATAATTCTTAAAATGTGTGGTTAGAATAACAGCAAACGCATGTTTACAAACGCTTTTTTTTAGTTATTATTTTATTTGAGTAAATTTAAATGGTAACAATGAATAAACAAAACATCAAAGATTTTATTTTTGTACTTACTTTTGTTCTACACGTTTTACTTTTAAAGATTTCAGTACCTAAAAACGCCAGAAATTTCACTATTTCTCGGCCAGGAATATGGCCACCTTAACAGACTTAACACATATAATTTTATTAATTTTTTATGCCTTAGCATATCTTCAAGAGGTGGGTGTGCTTTGTCTCGTTTACACGGTGTTTTTTTAATGGCATACACTCTCAATAACTTTTATACAGGAATCCAGGACTGAAAGTATGTGGTTGATGTGACAAGAGCAATTACAATCCGTACAATATTTGTTGATAGAATTCCAAGAAGACCCCTGCGCAGAGCTGGGCAAAATACTTTCAAAATGTATTTAAAATACAAATTACAAAATACTAGTACGAAAGTATTTTAAAATACCTACTTATAAATAAAATACTTCTTTGGGAGTATTTTAAATATAAATTACTTAGTATTTAAAATAGTATTTTAAGTATGTTGAATAGTAAATATATTGAAAATATTCATTAACAGTTTTTAAAATATTTTTATGAAATATTAAATCTGAAACTCTTAAAATGTAATTTAAAAAAATATACAGAGTGCATGTATATAAATAACACCGAAAAAATGTAAGGGGCGATTCTTTGATGAAAATTAATAGGGGTCTTTGGTAAAACATTTTTTGAAAAAACTGAAAAAAAATCCAAAATTGTTTTATTTATCCTCTATGTATATCTAGATAAAGAAACCAAAGTTGGTGAACCTTATCTGTCAAAAAAACTACTTTTTGAAATTTTTTTCAACCTTGAAGTATTTTTGTAAGGGGTTGAAATAATCAACCCCTTGACATTTTCGGCAAAATACACTGGCGTTAAACAGCTGACCTTTTAAAAATGCATGGCAATACAGTAATTTTTTTCTCATAAATCCTTAATTTTTCGAAAAAACTTGAAGAGATCTAAAAGTTAGTAAATGAATGGTGCTTACGACATATTTTTTAAAAGGAAAAAATTTTATCGAGAAAAAAATTATAAGAAAAAATGTAGGGGTCGATTATTTCAACCCATTACAAAAATACTTCAGGGTTGAAAAATTTTAAAAAGTAGTTTTTTTGACAGATAATGTTCACCAAGTTTGGCTTCTTTAGCTTGAAAGATAAAAAAGAAAAACTTTTTTTTTTTAATTTATGGTGGGGCATAACTTTTTAGGCGAGCTTTTTCAAAAAATTTTATACCCAAGACCCCTATTAAACTTCATCAGAGAAGCGCCCCTTACATTTTTTCGGCAAACCCGATTTCAAGATCAAAATATTTAAAAAAAAAACTAGCTATCTGGAAATATCACATTTCCTTCATTTGGATTACCGAGGTGCAGAATATTTAATTTAATTCACTCTTAATTTTTTCATTAGTTTTTCTGAGAATATCCCACTGATACAAAAATACATTAATTTTAAATTTTGGTGACTGACTATTGACTTGACTAGTGATGATAGTGAAGTGACCTAAAAAGTAAGACAGAATAGCAATAACACAATAAATCCAGGCGTGCAGATCCGTAATTTTTTTTATCAAGTGTTCTACTCCATCAGTCACCAGTCATATCAGGCAAAAAGGATTTGTTTTTGGTAGGTATTTAATTACAAAATACAAAATAGTATTTTCTTCGAATTAACCGCATTCGACACCTGAGGTAAAAAGACCTTGGTGGTATGGCGTTCTACCTTAGGTATCGAATGCAGTCAATTCCAAGAAAGTGACGGTCTTTTTGAAATTCTATCTCGACAAATATCGTACCGACTGTACATTGTTAGATTATCACAAGTACAGTAGAACTTCTTTAATGGAACATACTATCTTTTTGCATACTTTGGTAGAGTGGCTTCTTAACATTACATTTGATTTATATATTTTGATTATACAGGGTGACCGAAATTCATGCATCATAATTTGGTCATAAATTCTTAAGACAAATTTAGGGGACCCGTATTTTTTCTTTTTGCCAATTGCCCCCTCTTTCGGAGTTACAGCCCCCTGAAATCTGCCCCTAAGAAGTCTTTTTTATATTTCAAAACCATGTTGTTCGAGAAACACTAAATTTGGTACACAGGGGTTTTATGACGTGGAATCTCACAGTGCTAAGCTTTCCCCCTTGTCTTTGGAATCAGAAAAATTTGGTCGCAAATTTGATTTTTTTTTTAAATTATTGGTTAGCTAGAAAGCCATTGACTTTAGAAACTTTTTTGTCTCTTGATGTTTGTTTCGTAAAACGCAATGTTTTTGAGGCAAATGGCGAATCACGATATGCATTCGATCATATTTTGACATTTTTCTCAAAAACATTGCGTTTTACGAAAAAAGTATAGACAAAAAGTTTCTAAATTTAATGGCTTGCTGGTGCTAATTTTTAAAAAATTTAAATATGCAACCAAATTTTCTTGGCTTCAAAGACAAGGGGGCCCACGAAAAATTGTCATAAGGGGGTTCCCCGCCAAAAAACGTAACACCATCAGATTCCACATGTCATAAAACTCCCATGTACCAAATTTAGTGATTCTTGTACAACAGGGTTCTGATATAAAAAAAAAGATTATTCTTAGGGGCGGAGGGAAAACTTGATTTTTTGTTATTGTCTTTGAGTCCTGAAAATGGCCATTTTTGCATTTTTTCATACTTTAAATTGTTTATAACTCAGAAACCGTTGATTTTAGGAGCATAGTGCATAGGAACTATTTTGTTTAGAATACCCCAAAATACTTAAATAAACAAGTTATTTTTGCAATCTGTTTAAAAAAATTGTGACCAGGTTACCGGCCGGTAACATTTTGATCCTCATTCAGGGACATCTCATGGAGGTGATTATGCAAAAAAAACCGAATCCACTAATTTTTTCATACAAAGCCCTTGTCTAAGTATGTAGAATTATTCAGGTTTTTCAATACAATTTATGTAAATTTGATGTACGACTGTCAAAAGATTTAAAAGTAACACTGAAGGAGGCCAGGTCTAGACAATATTTATGTGAAAATTTAAATATTAAACACTTGTACTAAAGGATCAGACAGATGTTTTAATGAAAATAGCAGAGATAATTAAAAAATAAATAATACACATATCTGTCGAAATTAAAGCTAAGTAAATTTATTTCCAGAGCACAATCACTCCCAGCTCGCTGCAAGAGTGCTTATTGTAACTCATGAGAACGCGCGCATTAGTTAACTATTATAGAGGCCATATTGAGTCTGAGACTAAGCCAAAAAGAGGATGAAGAAAATATCAATGTAGAAAAATTTTAAAAGCGTTTTTTCCAAGAAACCAGCCAGAAACATAACTCAAAAAGTTTTCAATGAATCGACTTGAATTTTGTATAGAGCTTTACAATAACATAATTCTGGGAACATCATAGGGCTTGTTTGATTAACAATTTTCATCGTTATTAACAACTTAATGCAAAATTTTTCGCTTTTGCGAATTTTTTTTTAAATATTCACTAAATCAACAATTTATTAATATTTTTAAATTTCTCTACGATGTTTCCTAGCTTTTAGTATATATCAGAAAATGTTTGATTTTCTGTTGCAAGACTATCTGTTAATAAGAAACCTTTCCGGCCATAAAAGGTGTCATTGCTTACCATCCCCTACAGTTGCCATTTTGAATCCAAATTGTCTAAAAAAATTCACAATACTACCCCAAAACATGTACAATAGAGCCTTTTTGTTTCTGACACTATTTCGTAGATTTTTCCTTGAAAATTCCCAAAAATTACCTTTTTTCCAATCTCAAGAGTGGCGTTTAGAACTTGTATAGCTTGTGATGTGGGAAAGGTAATAAGAAAATTTTCCTTTTAAGTTTTATTCTTGCAATACCTCATTGTAACAGTTCAATTACAAATGTCGAGCACTGTTATTAACTTAAAATATTGGCAGATGCCTAAAAGAACTATTGTATTGTATAACTGCTAAAAATAAATGAGAAAAATCATAATGTTACACGAATAACAATAAAACTAAATTTACAATTTTAATAATAGTACACACATTGATTTTACATTAATTCTGGATGTTAAAAAACATTACCATAGCAGTTGCTAGGGTGGCAACTATGGAAAAATGTACAGTTTTAGATTATTAAATTAAGTTACAAAAACGAGTTAAAGAATGGATGGCCTTGAAAACCAATCACAGTAACCTTTATCTATTGATAACAAGTAATCAACCTAACACAAAAGTAGTAACAGGACGTTCTCTATCACAAAAATTTTATTTCTGAAATAATTGTTTCCTTTATCTTTGGCAATCTTGTGGTAGTTCGATTCAAAATTAATGATCTTAAAAGGTTTCGGTAATGGTTTCACTCACCGATAAAGGTCTTTTGTAAAATGTTACAAAACAGCTTTACCACGGTTATCATGAAAGCTAATTATTTATTGCACTGTTTAATTGCGGCCCTGAGACAATGAGAACAATAAAAAATTCTAGAAAATGAGAAAAAAACACCTTATATGAGACCGCATTCAAACAACACAATTCACATCCTTATAAATATCAGTTCGTGATTAATAAACAAATACAATAACACCATCATTTCAACACGCCACATTATAAAAATAATGCTTTATTGAAAATACCGTCAAGATCACATCCGCAGGTATTTTATAATGTAGCTCTTCTTACGGAGGCCCCATAGGAATTTCACATTGACATTACGGTACTCACTTATTATCTCGAATCCGACTTGTATGTTACAACCTACTCTTATGAATAGTTAAATAATACAGCCTGACTTGCATTCACTCACGCACTTCATCAAATACTTACATACATTTTCAAAGATAAGCGGCCTATTTGTAAGTGGCCGATATCCCACTTTATTATATTTTTTGCAATTTTATATTTTATACAATATCCGTTTAAACGACGGGTAGATAAAGTAAATTATAATTCGTATATGCTCACTTATAATAAAAATTTAATTTTATATATAAAAGTCAGATGCCTTTTGACAAAAGACCATCTTTTGACCAAACAGATGCGAAGTTAGTCTTAGCCCAGACGATGCAAGTTGTATGAGATGCGTTAACGATTACCTGTAAATAAATAAAAATATTTTAAAGAAAATGTTTCTACCAGAGGATTCTGTAAACATGCAACAAAATTAAACATGAAACAGTGTTAATAATTGATATATAGATGATTTAAGACTGATAATGAGGAAAACTGCTGAAATTTATTGATGAGTTAAGGTGCTGACTGTATGAGATACATTTAAACACTGCATAGAGCACCAAAAACACCAAATTTAAATTACCTGTTTGCTTTGACTAATTTAATACCATAACCCACTCATCTCCTTTATTTTTCTTTACAGATTTTCTTGGTTGTAGTAGAATTGATGAAAGAAATATGATGTTAAATTAAAATGTTTTTCACTGCTATTGAACATGTAAATGGTAATTTAAAAAAATAATAAATTCATAGATGTTGTCAAATTTTGATATATGTATCTAATTATTTAATAATACTAACAATACAAAACTAAAAAATATATAATCATACTGTAAAAGTGATATTCAGTATTTAACTTTTTTATTAGCTAAATCTGTTCTGATAGCAAAGGCAAATTTCTCAAGATTTCTTTTCAGTTACAGAATTTATCACTAGTTGTAATGTATTACGATATAATAAATTTCTTAGCAAACTTTCTCTTTAATTTAAAATCCTTATAATTATGACGACAAATAGTGTAATGACCCATCATTTTCAGCAACTTGAAATATCTATATACACATACATATGTCTTGGACAAAGACAACTTAAAATCGCATTTGAATTTTTTTGATAAATGATCGATGAGTATTGTTAGAACAACATACATATCACTTTAAACTATATACTAATGGGACGTTCAATAAGTTCTCGTTGTTTTCCAGTAGATGGCATTACCAGAACCAAGCGTTTTGTTTAATGCCGGGTTCACATCAAACCGACAAAGGAGAAACAAAACAGAAACTTTATGTTTTTCAACAATTCTGCAACAAAGGTGCAACATTTCAGCGACTTTTTTGTCTCGGCTCTGTTTTGTCGCCGGATTCCCGAACAATTTCGAGTCCCGTCGCTTGTCGGCTAATATGGTCGGTTATTTTGTTTGCTTAATCGGGAACTGTGTCGATTCAGTGTGGACGGAGAAACAAAACTTAAAATATCATTCACGTGTGCTCATTTGTTGAATGTAATTATTACTGAAATGATGTCGGAGAAAACGAAGTGGACAGTGGATAACACCTGTAAATTAATAGAAATGTATCGAGAAACCTCAATGTTATGGGACCCAACAAATAGTGACTATAAAAAGGCTGATGCTTTAAAGGAATTTGGACGATCTCTGAATTTACCAGTGGAAGAAATTGAAAGAAAAATAAGAAATATCAAAGAGAAAGAAGGAACTATAAGCCGTGCAAGAAATCTGATTCGAGATAAGTTTATATCAAAATCACCAAACACGAAATCGTCGTCTTCTTCAGCGTTATGAAAACGGTAACAAAACATGCTTCTAGTGAGGATTGCAAAGACAAAACTGAAACATGAAATGTTTGTTGCCATTTTGTTTTGAATAAATGGTCTGCGGTGTAGACTTTGTTTTGAAATTGTTTTGTCAGTTTAATGTGGACCCGACTTAAGCTAGTAACACACCTATAAAGAAGTATTATAAGTAAGCTTAAAATTCAGTGGATGTTATTTTGCGGAAGTGTAAATTACTTTTTTTTTCGTAGTGATAAACATGTCGAATTTCGTGCAGAAAAAAGAGTATTTTTGAGGAATTTCACTGCATTATTTTATTCAGAGCATGCAGATTGGTTTAGATGCTTCAAAAATAATGATTTTGATGATTGCGTACCGAAACCGTTTGAAGATGGTAACTGAACTTGCAGAATCATTTGGAGCTGATCTAAGTTTCGAAATGTTTGAAAGCATTAAAAATGATGCAAAAGCGAGGATACTGGGTGCCGTACGAGTTGAAGCCAAGAAACTTCAAATGGCATCTTTGTATGTGTGAACAGTTGCTTCAACAACAGAAAACGAAAAGTTTATTGCATCGCATTGTAACTGGCGATGAAAAATCGGCATGTTATGATAATCCTAAGCATAGAAAATCATGGGGCAAGCCCGGCTATGCTTGAACATCGTGAGCAAAGCTGAATATCCATGGTTCCAAACTTCTGCTCTGCATTTGGCTGTAGTTTATGAGCTGCTTAAACTGAATAAAACCATCATGGGAGATCGTTATTGACTACAACTGATGTGTTTGAAAGAGCATTGAAGAAAAAAATGGCCGTTATAAGAGATACGACAAAGTGATTTTGCATGATGAAACGTTCAGCCACATGTTGCAATACTGGTGAAAACCTACTTGGAAACGCTTAAATGTTGCTAGAAAGATGGGGAAAAGTGGTGGCTAGCGATGGACAATACTTTCAGTGACGTTTTTTATTAATTTTTTTAAATAAAGCATTCATTTTGATGAGAAAGCGAGAACTTATTCAACATACCATTAGCGTTTGTTAGAAGATCCAAGAAAAAAAAAAGAGAAACATAAGATCTCTCAATGGAACATCATTTAAACTATATACAAGTGAAAAAATTTAACTTTAAGAACAAACAGCTTCTGCAGTATACATGAATTAATGGAAATATTATACTGAAATTAACATATTTTAATTATACGAATGTGATTCAGTAAAAAAAAGAGAATCAATTACAGTACACGTTTTTATATATACCATAATTAATTCATTGCTTGGATCATTTTAAAACTACACGAATAAACTATCAGGCAAGTTTCAATTTTAATTTAGGTAACTTTGAAATTTTAACATTTCGTGTGGTCTTCATCTGGTAAAAGATATGTAAAACTTCATATATTCTTGTTTATCGCAACATAATTCATTCCAATATACTCCTTTGAAGTTATACCAAATCTAATTAAAAAACGTATTTCTTAAACTTATATAACAAAAAAGATCAAAAGTATTTAAATTTTTTTAAAAATTAGATGTTTAAATAATTTACTCCCCAGTTTAAAATAGTCATAACTTTTTTTTTTTAGTGTTCTTTAATTGAGTAAATAATAATCCATAAGGCAAAATGGTCCAAAGCATGTTAAAATTTACATAAAGAAAGCAAAACTACTAATGGTGTACAAATAAAAATGAAGGAATGTATTAATGGCAGTTTTTTGAATTACCATCACAATCATTAAAAATATACCAGAAACGTAACACTCGAGTATTTCATGGCATTATTTTAACGACTGCGCAATTTTTTGTTTTTTATAAGCTCAATAAAACACAACTAAGGTATTACAATAATTTTATAAAAAATGACTTGGTATTACAAAACAGCAAAAATTAAAAAACTAAATAAAAAACAAAAGTCGATTTAGTGACCTTTAAGGGGTTTAGCAATATCGGTAGAAGAAGCATGGACTGTTTTAGATTGAGCTGTACCTTTAGCAGAATTCTGCTTGTTCTTTTCATCATCTTTTTTGTCACGGTTCGCTGAAAAGAGGTTCACCATAAGAACATATACTTATATTTAAAAAAAGTGCTAACATGTTTCAAGGACGCCATATTTTGAATCAGAAGAATATACAAATTAAGCATCCAAACTTGAAAATACAATCAAAGTAACAAGCAATTTCTCTTAATGGTTTGGACTGAAGCTAGTTAATATCATATTATTAACGCAAGCAGTTACGTTTGATTTGAATGTGGCGTCCTTAAACAGAATTTAAACTTAGCATGTCAACTGAAATTTGACTGGAAGCACAGAAATTTATTTTGTTCAAACAAAAGGATATCAAGCTATGTTTAAATTCTCAATATTAAAAAAACGAAAAGTAAAAGTTTAACAGTAATTTGTAAAATGTACATCATGAACATTTTATTTTCAAATTAAGTCCACTAGTCTCTTAAGTCTTATGTGTAGGCATATCAAATTTATTCATTAAATAGGGGTGGAAAAAAATATCCCAATATTAATAAATGCTGACATTAAAATATGTAGAAATTCACAACTAAGTCTCAAAAAATAATTTGTTGATTTATCGAAAAAGTTCTTGAATTTATTTGATTTAAAAGTTAACTTAAATTTTTAGTATAGCTAGAATAGACTGCTTAGGGGATCTGCACCATGCACATCTTGGAAATGTCCAATTGGTGGTTGTGATTACTTTGAATTAATCGGAAATTATCCAACTGGACTAATATATTTAAGATGTGTATACTGTTGAAGAATCCGCTCTAGTTAGACTGTGATACTTATAGTTCAGGAACACTATATATTAGCATGGCTGTTACTGTTACAATGTAAATATAACGTAGTGCTAGGTAAAAAAGTTGTGCTATTTGCAAATCAAAAAGTGCAAAAATGCGCAAAAATTACGTACTCTCCCATATTTTCAATATAACTTTGTAAATAAGCAGTTTAGAGAAAAAACTATTACTAATGAAATTGTTTGTTATGAAATTTCCAAGACAGAAATTGTTTTCATACTCACGAATATTATATTTTTATGGCTAGACAGCCAAAACAGCCATAAGTGTTGAAAATCGGTAATTTTGAAGAGTTAAACTGACAGGTAACAAAAAAAAAACTTCGTGAAGCGGTTTTGCGGGTTGGAAAATATGTCAAAGTAAAAAAAGTTCTCGGGAAGACGCTGAACTTGAATAAAGGAATGTTCAAATCGGTCGTATAAGTTCTGAGATATCAAGTGTCAAAAATAACAAGCGCTAAAAAAATGAGTGTGTGCCGATGGTCACGGTGTGCAAGAAACAAATTTTATTCAAACAAAAATGTCGAGAAAAACTGCTTATGCAGGGGGCTTGCTACTTATAAATACATGCAGAATCTATAGTTTTTAAAATCTGATTTGATCATTTTAAGCTATTTTGGTAAAAAATGTAAATACATAATAACAGTGATAATTGATCGTATGAGAATATATAAATTATATTTATGGGTAAATATGTAAGTATGTAATATAATATATAACTAGGCACACACATACTCACTTACCCACCACCCATACACATATATATATATATATATATATATATATATG